TCGTCAGATTGTAACCTTCTACGTGAAAGTCTTCAAATTGTAACCTTCTGGAAGTCGTCAGATTGTAACTTCCATCATCGGTGTTTGATGGGGATTGGCTATCTGTTGTGATTTTTATACAACCTACAGCAATGCAGATAGCTATATAAAGTAAGGTATATATATTCACAAAAATTCTATAGTGAGTGACCAACTACAATCATCCTAATTTAAGCATAAATAATTATTATTATAATTACTAATTTGATACGCATAACTATCGAACAAATCTCAAGCAAAAAATAAGAATTGAGATTGTATTATCCTAATTTCATGAAAACTTTTTTTAAACCTATACTTTTAAAGGGAGCATGACATTTTTTGTAAATTTTTAATTTTCTAGGGGTTGTTAATAATTCTGTGTATTCATTTTAGTGTCTATAAGTTAGAAATTCTAAACGGTGTTTTTTATAAATTATGAATTTTAGGGTTTTTTGCAACTTTTTTAAACTTATTGGCCTTTTCTATAGATTATAAATTATTTATAGACTATTTATAATTAGTATGTTTTCAATTTACTAATGAGTTAGAAATTCTCAAGATGTATTTTATAAATTTTGAATTATGAGTGTTCATTTGTAATTTTTGAAACTTTAGAGGTTTTTTCTATAAATTATAAATTATGTAGGGGATATTTATAGTTCTCTACGAATTGAAATAAGTAAAGGATCGATTTGAATTATATCAAACATATCTCCTTTATCCAATAATATGTTAAGTCACATTATGAATATGATAAAATATTTAATTACTAATTTAAAAAAGATAGGATAATTAGAATAGATTAGGATAACAATATAATATTTAGAAAAAATTAAGGGTAATATAATAATATTGGTCATGAAAAGGTTTTCTCAAACTCGTAATTTTAAAGGGAGTATGATATATATTAAAAATAGTGAGGTGTCACATTCCCCTCTACTCATTGAAATCGGCGCCCACACTCACATGGGTTGAGGAGTTGTTGGGAATGACAATAAGTGGATGAGAATGTGACACCTCATATATATATATATATATGCCTTTTAAATCTTTAGTTTGAAATCCTCAATATAAAAAAGAGGGTGATTTTTCTGTCCCAGGCAGATGAGTTTGCAGTTAGCAAAAAAGTAATGAATAAATATGTGATATATCTTAGAATCCGAAGTCCGAAAAGTATTGAGAACATATAATTTTTTCCATTGACAAAGATATAATTAAATGTCAAGTGTATATTATTACAAATGCATCCAATTTTCCACCTAATGAAAATACTAGCAACCAACACCAGCATTAAAGAGGAAATTTTCATATGGGATATTATAACCATCCGAAGGAAGAAGTAGAGGATTCAATGTATCTACAAATAAAATCTCAAATTAATCATCTACATAAAAGAGGAAACTTTCATATCGGATATCATAACTAGGGCTGGGCATATTCGGTTCGGTTCGGTTTTATGCCCAATCCGCATCCAATCCGAATTTTTCGGATGCTCAAAACTCTCATCCAGATCCATATTTTTTCCCCTTCATCCGAATATTCGGCCCAACCGAAATTCGGTTCGTTTCGGTTCGGTTTCGGTTTTGAATTTGCAAAGAGTTCTATCCAAAGACTTCTGTTGTAAATTTGCAAGCTGGGCATTGTCCTCATGATGAGGTTCCTGAGCTCGCCAACAAAGCTTTATTAGACTGGTTATCATCTTTAGAATAAAGTTTTGAGTTGATATAATTACGCAGAGAACTTATGTTTTAAAGATGTTGTTCATATAATACAGCATGCTTATCTCTTGTAAGTATCATGTACATAACACATTTTGTGATTGATTTGAATCTTATGTAATTCTCAAGATCTTTTCTGTGAAATTTTTTAACTAAAGTTTAAGTTTATTTAATTACACGGGGGAGTGATGTTTTGTATGATATTGTTCATATAATGTAGCATATGCATCTTTTGTAAGTGCATCATGTGCATAACAAATTTTCTGGATTGATTTGAATCTTTACTTAGTTCTCAAGGATATTTTTCTGTGATATTGCTGTACTCATTGCTTGAAACTGCTCCTTGCGCCGTTTGAATCTATTGGATGATAACAGGAAAAGTTTTGAGGTATAAGTTTAGTCTCTAAACCGCCCAACAAAATTCGGGTCGGTTTTTTTTGGGCGGTTCAGGGGTTCAAACCGGGTCCAAACCGATTTAATTCGGTTCGGGCGGTTTAGAGACTTCTTCTCATCTATTTAATTCGGTTCGGTTAACCGGTCCGTTTTTTCGGACGGTTTTGCGGTTTAGAGACTTCTTCTCATCTATTTAATTCGGTTCGGTTAACCGGTCCGTTTTTTCGGACGGTTTTTTCGGTTGAACCGGTTTTTTTCGGTTTTTGCCCACCCCTAATCATAACCATCCAAAGAAAGAGGGTTCAATGTTTCTACAAATAAAATTTCAAACGAATCATCTACATGAAGAAATAGATTATTTCTATACAGCTAAACACCAAACCTGGCAAGATATTTGTATCCAAAGGAAGGAAGAACTACACGAAAGGTCAATCACCGCATCAAAGCAATTCATGTACTGATTAATAGGCATTAATGCCGTATAATCTTTTATAATCTGTTTTTCTAATTTAGTTGTATACTCATTTACTATATAAATGAATTTAGCTCACTTATCCTCAAATCACCCACAAAAATGGCTGCTTCTTCATTCTTCAAATCTATTCTTGTAGCTTTTCTCCTCACCGTCATTGTCTCATCTTCTCAGGCCATTAGGACTCAAGCTGGTAAGTATATCTATCTATTTATCTTTAGTTATTAGTGGAATTGTACCCGGTTACACTCAAGAAGGTAGGTAAAAAATTTACACAGTTTGTTTGATATTTTTCATACGAGGAATTTAATATTGCCACATTGGATAAATACATTAAATCTGCAAATTTATGATTTAAGGGCTATAAACGCTAAGAAAATTTAATTTTCAGACTTTTTCTCGAGCTCATACAACCAATAACTAAAAGTTGAGCTTAAGCAACTCATTCTAAAATTCAAGCTTTCCAAGGGGACGGTAATATTGGTTCTGTACTTTTGAATACTTTACTAGTATAATTGCCCAAAACATCCTATTTTTCTAGTATTGGAGGTAGAACTTTGACATTTCGCTATGCAAGTATCTTGTAAAATTTCATATCCTGCAACAAAAGCAAGAATAAAAAAAAGACAAAGAAAGAAAGAAAGAAAGAAAGAAAAGAATAAATGTGGTATACATGTTACCAACCCACATTCCACAATAAGATTTTGTGTTACGAGTAGGGGTCCTCTCAAAACCGCTCACGTGCAAGTTGGGCGGGTCTGAGCCACAAATGGGAAGGGGCAATTACGAAATTGCCCCCATGATATTCCCATTTGTGGCTCAAAACCGCCCGCTCACTTATGGGCGAGCGGGCAGTTCTGAGAGAACACAAACTCGCTTGCTACATATAATTTTTTCTTGCCTATATTTGTGAGATTTTCTTTTAGAATACTATGTTTCAAATGCATTGAGTACATATAAACATGTCCATCCATAAAGATAAAAATCTTTTAAATGTCAAGTGCTATATTACAAATGTATTGAATTTTCCCAGTCTATTATCACCTAATGAAAATACTAGCTACCAAAAGAAAGAAATAGAGGGTTCTACGTATCTACGAAATATAGGTAGGAAATAAGGTGGCTTATGCGCTACCAACTATAGGTTTATGCATTACGGCATTACCAAATACACAAAAGATAGGGAATAACATAGTACCTACTATATTCATTACCCTACTATATATTCAACAAGTAGTATGCATGCTCGTTTGCTATCTATAAATAGTTATAGACCGCTCAACCTAAATCACCCACAAATGGCTTCTTCTACATTCTTGAAAGCTATCTATAAATAGTTATAGACCGCTCAACCTAAATCACCCACAAATGGCTTCTTCTACATTCTTGAAATCTATTCTTGCAGCTTTCCTCCTCGCCCAACCTAAATCACCCACAAATGGCTTCTTCTACATTCTTGAAATCTATTCTTGCAGCTTTCCTCCTCGCCGGTTGTCATCTCGTCTTCTCGGGCTGTTAGCCCTCAAGTTGTTAAGCTAAATATCTACTTTTTGACCCTTAGCTAAATCTTGGCAGATATTGCCCTTGGTCTTAAGATAAAGACTCCAAAAAAATCTAGCCCAGCTGATCCATATGCAACAATGAAACTACATGGGGTTCTACGTGCAATTAACCAACATATGAAATGTTCTATGAATATTATTATTATTTGTTTTTTATTTCTTTATTTGTTTTCTGTAGGCAATGAACAGGCTTTATGTACACACATGGGAAGTTGTACATTCGAAGTTTGCAATGCAGGCTGCATAAAGTACAGCCATGCTATTCGTGGATATTGCGACTATACAGATCCACATTATGGGGATGTCGACTTATGTTGCTGCAAGTTTTAATGAGGAATGATTCACATTTACATTTGATGTGAACTTTCTATCTTATTTTATATTGAATAATATCGAAGGATCGATTATATTGTATTATCTTTTAACTAAAATTGATTGAAGATGCCTGGGCCAATTTTTGTTACTGTTTCACTCGCAGAAGTTCTATATTTCGAAAAAACCCTCAGAAGACCTACTTGTCAAAAAAAAACAATTATCTCTTTCTTTGAGGCTTCACAAACATATGAGCTTCAAATAATTTATTATAAACTTGTATAATAATCATTACATGTAACTTTTTAATTGGGGAAACTAATAGAGTTGAGAATCCAAGGGGTCTAATATGCAGCAGTAGAAGTACAAGAGGTCTAATCGCAACTGTATGCAATTAACCTTTTAAAGTTCAATCTCTGACAAAGGACCTTACTGATAGTTTTATAATCACAATCAATAGACTAATAGGCCTAAACTCATATACCTCATTAACCCCTTGCAATTTTTTTGAGAACTTGCAACTCCAATCTAAAGTCTCATGAGTTCATTGAGTAATTCTTCAATGTAGAAAAAGAAACAAGAAATACAGCCCTCGGTTCCTTATTCTACTGGATAGTACAGATTCGAGAATATAAAACCCGAGTTATATGTTCTGAACCAAGATTTTATGGTATGCTTACAAAAGCATTCTCTTCGCATAAAGGTTTATAATATGCAGCATTCAAATCTAAAAACTATCAACCACTAACAAGCTCTCAAACCTTTTTCACTTCAGCTAATCCCTTTTAGCAGTAATAGACCGTGCCTTGAGATTAAGAAATATTGCCCTGTGGTAATGATAGAGGAAATTAAAGATATGTTAGAAGTCGAATATCAATAAACATCACATAACAAATTAGAGAAATTAATATGCAGTTCTCAACTCTTGTTTTTATGATAATTATGCGTTTCAATAAATAGTTTATGCGCTTAACATACACAAGTTTCTTCATAATAACTCTATATATACATGCGCACGTGTGTATGTGTGTGTCTTGTGCATGATTGAAAATGACAAGGAAATTATCGCTATAAGTCTTCTTATGTCTTGTACTTAGCGATCAATAGCCAGTCACCAAACCGTGAAGCATTGAAAAAAGTACAGAAAAAATGGTTAATTACATAGGGGGTTAGCCACTTAATACCCCTAAACTTTTTTTTTATTAAGACTTAGACCATCTGACGTCCAAATGGAGTTAACTCTCCAATATTTATACAAATGATACAGGTGATGTAGCTCAACACCTATAAGAAGATAAGGAGTCTCTCTGTGACACATTGAAAAATAGGGGTAAAAAGTGGCTAAACCTGTAGTAAAGGGGAGTATTTGCAAATAACCCAAAAAACATGTGATTCCATTGGGAGACCAGCTGTCAGAATATATATCAAATCGTATCTCTACAAAGTGGCTAAAGAGGAGCGAAAATACTAACCAGCATGAAGCAACAAAGCTGTGGAACAAAACTCGGAATTGCAGAGGCATGTACTGATAATTTATCCAACCAACAATTGGCCAAAACTGCAAATAAAAGCACAGTAAGATTGTTGCAAATTAGCAATAAAGATAAAAAAGCGGCTAAAAAGATTTGTACCTTCCATGCAGTCAATTGGATAGTTGGATAGTCCTTCCTAACCTTGCTCTTCACCAAACCCCATGGTCTTCCTATGATTACACCAATTCAAATTTATTTTAAAAGGGAAATTTTCTATCAGAAGCTTGTATTTATAAAAATACTAAGATCAAATGCTTCATGGTAAAAACTATGTTTTCTCTTTGATGGTCATGCAGAAAATGGTGCTCATTCGTTACACCAAGATCGGATTAAACTGTTTTCTGCCTCTTTTACCCTGGGTGATATTTTAGCAGATATTGCCCCTGGATGAAATTAGTTTAAGTCTGAGGGTAAAAGAGTTAAATAATTCACCCAAGGGTTTATTTCCAAAATGAAACTGCAGGGTAGTGAGTTCAAGTCTATCTGAGGGTAAAAGATTTAAAAAATTCACGCAAGGGGTATATTTCCAAAATTAAACTAGAGGGGAGTAAGTACAAATGAACGATACTATAAGGGGTCTATGTGCAATTAACCCTTACAGAAACTAGGCAGACATCACAGATACAGGTGAAAATTACTTTGTTGTGCTATCACCTACTGTGTCATTCTTTTCAATATAACTACAAGTATGCAGGCTAAGAACAATTAAGTTGGATAATAAATAGTCGATTTTGTTACCATAACTAAGAAGATCAAAACAAATGCTTTATATACAAGAGAAAAAACAGAAACTAAAGCAATTAATGTCCTCACAGATACTGGCTTAAATCAGCAATTACACAAGCTTTTCTGAATATCTATTTTATTAGCACCTTACCAGTCACCTCATTGAAAAGTAATGCAAACTTCAATGCAATTGATACATTAGTAGATAGAATTGAGACTAAAAATTTGTTCCTTCTACATACATACCTTCAACTACTAATCCATAGTACATCATAAAGAACATGTTGTTCCAAGGTGAAGAAGTCAATTGTTCCAGCAATACCTGAAGAAAAATTTTATTTGTTGTGATCATATGAAATAATAATTTTCAAGTAAATGAATAAAACAAATATTTACAACATACTAGTCAAGAATTTAGATTTGACTTAGCAGATTAAAAAGATAAATCATATGAAAAGCTACCTTCTGAGCAACAGTTTTGTTTCCTTTCTTTCCTTTGAAAATAGTGTCCATAAGTTTGTGCAGGAAATGCCCAAATGGCCCCCCATAGGCAAAACCATAAAGCTGCAAAATAAGGTTAGCTATTGAATTGAACAAAATCTAAGTGACTCAAAATCTCTCCACATAAAACTTTGTGTGACAAATACTTCGTACACGTAAAATTGCATGAGATACACTTCATAAGAGCAAAAAATCATCATGTTGGTGCCCCAGTGAGAACTGATTCCAATGTTTATGCACTTCATGAGTATGAGAATAACAACTTCTATGTATATGCTTTAGAGATAGGGAAGATAATGAACAAGTACAAATCTCCCATGTGAGTACTAACCTCTTAATTCAGGATCTCAGATTATAAACTACAAAGTTAGGCTGAAATAAACTTCACATCGCATAGAAAATGACTCGGGATCAATCAATAGCGAAAAAATGTAAATAAAGCCAGCTTCACAATTACTAACATCAGATCTATTCCCTCATCCACACGAAAACTCATAGCAAACAAAAAGATCTTGAAATTATGAAACTAAAGTCAACCAACAAAAGCCCATACCATGATGAGAAGCAACCTTCTGAATTGAAGTCTCTTGATACCAGAGATCTTCTGAGCGATTGTGTCACTGCATCCAGCCAAAACTCCAGCTGTTATTGCCTACAACAAATCAAACCAAGATCAAAACTTGAGATTGATCCACATAGCCAAACAGTACAAAGAACTAGAAACCAAAATCAAAATTAAGAGTTTATTATATATAAATTCAAAAACCCAGTTGGGGAATCAAACAATAAATCAACAAAAAGGGCATCAAAATTTGAACTTTCTGATGCAGGACCTTTGTTCTCAGGGGGTGGAGCTGCAATTGGAGAAGATAACGTCTCCATGTATCAGCAACAATATCCGACATCTCCACAGAGCAAAATAAGTGGGAAACTAAAGGAGAAAGGAAATAAAAATATCTCCTTTACGGTTTACAGAGAAAAGGGAGTAGTGTTTATAGATATTTTGGGTCTCGTCAAAGTTGGTGGGGGAATTTGTGATGAAGTTGGGTTGAAAGAGTCCGAAGATTGAAGAGAAAGAGCAAGAGCGCATGGGGATTTCTCCCCTCTATTGTTTGTTTAAAGTCTAAAGGTCTTCTTTCATGAATCACATATGCTTTATGTTGTGTTCTTTAATGAATGACATAATGCTTTAAATTATATTCATCGCATTTGTTTTTTTAATTTGATGGGTGGGACTGGATCCAACCCTGAGAATCTTACATAATGTCTACTGATTAGATTCATAATAGGGGTTTTTCAATATTAGTCCTTTATTTCATATTTTAATAGGACAAATTTTCAAATGAGACCCATTTAGACTTTTCTTCCCCAAAAACGACTTCATTCAAACAAAATTACAAAAACTGACTTGTTTTCAGCCTCAGCGCTGAAACCAAGTCGGTTTTTGAAATCTTTTTTCTGAAACTTCACGGGAGTTGAACTCCCGTGAAGTTTAGTAGATCTGCTAAACTTCACGGGAGTTGAACTCCCGTAAAGTTTCATAGTTCAAAAAAAAATTGAACTATGAAACTTCACGGGAGTTGAACTCCCGTGAAGTTTAGCACATCTACTAAACTTCACGGGAGTTCAACTCCCGTGAAGTTTCAGAAATTTTTTTTCAAAAACAGACTTGGTTTCAGCGCTGAGGCTGAAACCAGGTCGGTTTTTGTAATTTTGTTTAAATGAGGTTGTTTTTTGGGATTAAGTTCACAAATGGGTTTCTTTTGAAAAAGCGTTAAAACCAGGTCGGTTTTTGTAATTTTGTTTGAATGAGATCGTTTTTTGGGATTAAGTTCACAAATGGGTTTCTTTTGAAAATTTATCCTATTTTAATATTACACCCTCAAATCATTGAAATTGGGTATCAGTCGATCAAATCTAAATCTGCCTTAAAATGCTAATCATGGTTGCTTTAATAGTAAACCATGGTTGGATAATTAGAAATTTACCATCTTGTAATGCTAATAACTACTCCCCTCTCTCATTTCCCACTTATTTGTTAGCTCCCGAAATTAGAAACTTCTTTTGGCAAAGTTATTTGAAACATAAGGACATGATTCAATAGCTTAAACTTGATTAGGGTTGAGAATAAGGTGATATTTGAAGAGATCGTTGTAGGGTTTGTATAGCTTCATGGAGAAAGTGGCCATTACTTTCAAGGGTTAGATGGAAGAGGTGGTTGTAGGATGGAAGATTGACTAAATGAGTTCAGACTTGGGTTTTTTAAATGGGTGAGGGTGTTTTGGGTTTAAGTTAACGCGCTAAGGGTTTGGCTAGGCAAGTTGAAACTGGGAGTGCATCCTAAAACGTTAAAACAAGCGGAATATTCCATTAATTTTAACATTATGCTAATTAGAGGGATTTATATCAACACGCTTAAGGATTCGAGGGCCGGTATCAAATTTCAATAGTTTGGGGGACCTATACAAAATATGCAAAACGTTTCATTTACGCCTCGTTTGGTACGCGAGAATGGACATAAGTGAGAATGGAATGGAAGAATGAATGGAATGGATTGTATGTGGGAATGGAATGGTCATTCCCATTCTCATGTTTGGGTACTTTTGTAGAATGAGGCTAGAATGAAAATCTCGTTCTCATTCCCATGTTTGGTATCACTTGTTCACAAGTGAGAATGGAATCGCATTTTCTAATAATGTCCTTACAACAACATATATTTTTAATAAGATAAAAATAAACATTAATGATAATAACTAAACAATTTTATTTATGCATATGTTATACTAATTTCTGTGCATGTTATACTATTGCGCATGTTATCTCTCAAGTGTATGTTCTATTTATATTTTTTAAACAATACTCACTATTTCTTAGTCTTAAAAAATTAAAGAAAAATAAATAAAAGATTATCGCATCTTTCATAGGTCCAAAAAAAATATAAAGAATGATATCCACAGTTGATGCATATTGCATATGAAAAGGATGTCAGAATTACTAATGTGGAAATCAGTTGATTAATAGGGGTATAATTAAAAAATAAATAACTGATTTGATTCTCTCTTGAATGGGAATGACCATTCCCTATCTTCTCACTTGGAATGCCCATTCCCACAAAAAGTGAGAATGGTCATTCCCTGGGAATGGTCATTCCAACATCTAAAAAGTTGGTTTGTTTGGTATGAAGGAATGGGAAGTGAGAATGTCATTCCATTCAACCCCATTCCCGCCTACCAAACGAGGCCTTATAGAGATCGTTAGACGTCCTCCTATCAGAACTATTTCTATAGTAGTGGAGTGATCTATGCTATAAACAGAAGAGTAATAATTTTCAAACTAATCCTCTAACCCTCGTGAATGGTATAAACCAGTCATTTCTATAGATATGTTTTGATAAAATCCTTCTTCTGTATAAATTATCAATTTGTTGTTCTAAATTAGTGTTTTATCACTGCCCTACTGAAACTTAATTTCTAGATAGTTTGAATAATTCTTCCTCGCTTTTGATTGCAAAAAGGAGGCATTTAATTCAACTACGAAAAAAGAGGGGGAAAAAATCTTCAGCGATAATATTAGCTAAACCTCCATCTTTGCATTCCCTCTACCATATGAGCAACCAAACCCACATGAACATAAAGATGTCTTTTCTTAAATCATTCCATTTGATTAAACAGATATAGCCCATTAACATCTGACATCGTCAGTGACCCAAGATCATGCAACTGATTAATTGCTACAAATTTTATAATTTAAATTGATTTATGGGAGTAAAAAGACCAATTAGGGTTGAACATATACACTTTCATAACTACAACATCAGTTTAGGTAGAAGCCTTTAATTCACATAGCAGATGAAAACAATAAAGCATCAATAAACTAGTACTTATTTACTAACCCTCTATAGTTTCCTTGTTGCCGATAAACCCCAATGTGAAAGTTTTTTGACTCTTTTACCGTCGAAGGAAGAGAAGATTATTATTTTTAACAAATGGATCCCCTAAAGGTAAATGAGTAAAAGAAATCACTGAAAGGGTCTATCTGCAAAGGGATGTAGCAAGTTTAAAACAACGATACTACAATGAGTCTGTCCACAAATATCCCCAGAAAAAATTTCAAGGCATGAGGAAATATACCCATTACGGTTTAGATTGATTCCTGATGAGGGGGAAAAAGAAGGGGGATAGATTTATGGCTGAACTTGCATAATTTAATAACCTCACCATCAATTCAGGCGTAAGAGGTCTTCATTCAAAACACCAAGAAACTGAAATAATCTTAAACAAAACCAACACAAACAATCCAACAACAAACAAAAAATCTTAGAACCCTTCGGCGTGCAAGCAATTATGATTGAACTTACACATGTTCATTATCTCAACATCAATCCAAGGCATAAACAAGCCTTTATTCACATAATAAAATGCAATAGCTAACGATGCGATGCCATAAACATCAAGAAGTTCATGCAATCAAACAAAACAATGAATTTTTCTTTTTTTTAAAATATGAACGTCTAGGAGTCTTTGGTGTTCATTGCATTCTTGACAGTTTCGGGATTCTTAGCAGCCTGTTGGAAGGCTTCACCCTTCACGGTGCTCCTCCCGGCCTCTGCGTCCGCCCTCGCCTCTGCGATCCCGCTCTTGACAGCTCTGTCGGCGGCCTCAGCCTTGTCGTGGATGAATTCCTTGGCGTCCTCAGCTTTGCCAACCACCGTCTCTTTCACCTTTTGCGCGGTCTCTTTTGCCGATCCCCACACTTCTTGCACCGTCTGTTTCGCCTTCTCCGAGATGTTCTCTGCTTTCTCTGACATGTTGCTGGCTTTTTCTTTGACTTTGTTGGTCATGTCATCCGCCTCGTCGAGCATCTCATCGCTCACCTGTGTGTGATTATAGAACACCGATGAGAGAGCTAGCTTTTATCTCAAAAAGCTTATGGGGGGAATTTTTGGGGCCTGCTAGCTACACGAATCTTATTATTTCGTTCAATTCTGTAATGTCAACTTTTCTCTATCCAAACTTCATTGCACGGACCTCTGCCGTATGGCGCTTTGGGAGTACTCATTGCTCATCTAGTATGATTTTGGCTTCTGTATCTTAAATTTTTGGGATGTAGCACATCAAATCATACCCTTCCATTCAATTCTATTAAGGTAACGACAATAACGTCCTCTTTAGTTATTTTCAATCATTTTTTATGCGCATTAAAATTTGTATATTAGTAGTATTGGTTAAACAAAGATGTGTGTCTTATCAATCACCTAGCACAATAACAACAAAAGAGCGTATTATGCATGAATCATATTCTTTCATTCAGATATGTTGAGAGTTGTCTGCTCCATTAAATTAACCGTAATCATAACTTCTTAATTGTTTCTCATCAAGTAATATTCATAAAAACATTTCCCACTTAAACTAATTTTCAAATAACAATAACAACGACAACATAACAAATTCTTTTATACCAAATATTTGGATCTGTAATGGATTCTATTTTCTCATGCATATCTTATAAGAATTCTCTCTTCCATCAGTGAGTTAATCGCGACCAAGGAACATTAATAAAAGATTCCAAGTTAGCAAATTTTCAGTTAAAAAGTATTACATGCATGTTACAGAAAATTTTGGTTTTGGGCTACTGACACAATGTTGACATTATAACACTACATAGATCTCTAGACATAAAGCCTAATATAATACTTTTTGTCAATGAAAAAGCATTCATTGACAAAAATTGTATATATAACAGTATCATATTTCATTAAAAAGAATGTAGCGAAACATATGAGTGTCCAGATTTTTTTTTATCTATCTATTAATCAATCTATCTGTCTATTTATCTATGTACACATGTATCAGATAGCAAACCTCTCTTCTAGCCGCCGCAGAACTAGCCATACCCCTAGGCTCAGTAGGCGAGCTCTCCATTGGCCCGGATGATTCCTTCATCATCTGAGGATCACCCCCCTGCCAAAGACAACAAAAATATGACATAACATAACTAAAAGCGAAAATGTTTTTTGATCTTAAATAATAATATATAATAATGGTATCTACTAACTAATCTCACCTCCATTGATCCTGGCCCACCAGGAGCTCCGGTGACGAGGGCCCTCAGGTTCGCGGGGCAGCTCCTCCTCGCCATGGCGGCCCCACCATTGAGGAACTTGAGGAGGGATCCAGTGATCGCAGAGCTTGCCATTTCTTCTTCTTCCTTAATTTTTTTAAAACAGTGAATGGAACTGTTGTGTTTCGGAAAATTGCAGTTAGCACTCAATTTATACATTTGGCGGGGATGGTATTTTGTTGCCACGTGGCATTACCTCCTGAGTTTTTGGGCGCTTCGGTTACAATGCGACCCAGTATTTGCGGTTGCGTTACTTACTCAGCCCCCAAAATAGTGGCATGTTATGGAATCATGAACTTTAATTGCTAGTCTTACACAAACCATTGCTTAATTACAGTTGTATTTTGTCAAATAAAAATGCGTTGGAAACTAGTTTGGAATATATAATCGTTATTATGCATTCCAAATAATCTTATTTGTCGATTTGAGTAAGGAATGGTTAACAAGTTATTTAGTTAAAATGGTTTTTACATATTAGCCCCTTATCTATTCAATAATTAGTCCCTCATTTCATGTGTAAGATCTTGCGAAGTGGTCCTTCAAGTTAAATCACGTTGGGTATGAGGGAAATATTCCTTCAGATCTGATGTTGGAGGCAAAGTGGCCGTTTTACGAGTCTATTATATTCCCCAACACACTTCTTAAGTCTTAACGAGTTTAAACTTAGCACACGCTTAAAAAAAAATCCATGCTCACTTGAGTTATTCCCCATGGTTAGAAAAAAAAAATCTAACTCAAAACTGACTTACACAAAGGCTTGAAACATCAAGGAGGGGGTAGTTTAGTAACTAGGTTTAGTAGTTAAACCCAACCATGCTTAGGTATTTTTTTTACTAAAATACTAATAGAGAAACCATTTTTTTTTCTAGATCCTATATAATATGAGGGACTACTACGCAATTTTCAAGATCGGAGGAACTAATATGCAATTATTGGAGATTTAACGTACTATCATTTTAAGAAACCCTAGTTCAAAACATGCTTACTGATTCGAGGAATGGTAATCGGACAAAGCATTTGATATTGTAAATTCAATCTGATATTGTATTCGTGGCTCTCGTGTCGTCAGTGGGTTAACTAAATGCGCACACAGCTTCTAAACAAGAACACATTCACATACAGCTCAGTACACTACCAATGAAAATAATGAGGTAATCCATTAAGATTGCAACAAAAAAAAAAACAGAAAGCAACTGAGAAAACGCCATAATATTATTAGAAATCATATTATTTTCTATATAAACACCTTGTGACAAATCGCTCTCAACTAGTCAAATCATCCATCCTCGCTAATTCTACCAACTAAAGTCAATGTACACCAATCTATAAATACCATTCATACTCGTAAGCAAGCTATTTGTAGCTTACTTTCTACCCCCCTTCTCAGATTAACAAGAAAAGCCAGTCCCTTACTTTAAACATAGTAATTAAACATCCACTACCAGATTTTATTGGATTTAACAATAATTAACGGCGATTACTTCATCTTCTTGTCCCTCCTCTCCTGTATCTTTGACAAAGCTATAACATCATTGGTTTCTATTTCCATAATTTGACTGACTTGTCGTGGCTCGCTGAGGCGACCATTCCTGTGGTAGGAGATTGGGCTAATGCGGCAATGAGACCGTCGTGGGCTGGAACTGACATTGTTTGGCTCTCCACCATGTTCCATAGCTCCAAAGACTGCGAAAAAAGCACATAAACCAAAGTAAACAACAAGTAATTTAAGATTTCAACATTAGACACCTAAATCTTCGTTAATCCTCAATTAGACCCTCAAATTTCATATTTCTAATTTCTAAATTAGACCCCCCAAACCTTCATATTTGCTTGAAACGAGTGCCTTCTTTAAGACAACTCGGTAGGTTTGGGGTGTACTAAAAATATGGGGCTGTTATTTGAATAATATTGACGGCTTTCGTGTCTAATTTAGTCTTTTTGCACTTAACGTGAAGACAAAAAGTATTTTATTCTCACATTCCGCATGTGACGTCTCAATCTAACAGGAGAAATAACATTGTCGATCTGAAATCAGGAGTGTAAAGTGTTAATCAAATTGTTTAGGGGGGTTAAGGAGCTATACCCTCATAGTATAGGAGTGTATCTGCAATTAACCCTTTATTTTATGATGTGCATATAATCAGGGTCGTATTAACATGTTCTGAGTGTTGCCGTAGTCATGGCTCTAATTTTATGGTCATACAGTGGGGGGAAATGATCCAGCGGTGTTCAGAGAAAGAAATTCAAGACTATTTGGACGTGTCTATATTCTCAAGGAAAGAGACGAAGGAAAGAAAGTGGAGAGTCGAAAGTGAAGCAAAAATATTCCGGGGAATTTCAGTAGGTTCTGTTTGTAAACCTTTCTTTCTTTCTTTTTCTTCAAATAAATGACTGGACTGATAATATGATTGCACATCTTTAAGCTCATGTATAGATCGTAGTTACCTGGTACCCTCCAATAACCAGAAGAGTTGAATAGTTTGGATGAAAAACACAAGAGTGGAACTTGTTCACGTTGGTGCTGAGCTCATGAATGCACTCTCCTGATACCAATGACCACACTTTTACAGCATCCTGACTAACAGAAGCCAGGAACTCCCCGTTATTGTCCCAACAAACAGAATGCACCTCCTTTGTATGACCCTGCAAATAAACATTATCACTACATGATCATCATAGCTACAGGAATAGCACATAGATATACATAACTTCTTTGTTCAGAGAGAAACATCAGTATGTCTCAACCTTCTCCATCCCAAAACAATACCCATTATTTTTTTTTAAAAAGGCAAAAGGATAACTTTCTGGAACTGATGGGTTGTTTTCCTCTTTTTTCTGTCAACGTGTTTGCCACGTGACATGTTGAGTTAATGGTGCTAATTTGGGGGACTAAATGAGAAATGTTCAGGTGAGGGTTAGTGGAATAAAAAGTCCTTGGAGGTTATGTGCGATAACCCCTGAAGTTCAAGGGGTTTAGTGGACTAAAAGAAAGTTCCGCGGGGGTAGGGGGCGCGGGGCGCGGGGGCACGTCAGTGCAACAACTCCAAAAGTTTGGGGTTTTCTGAAACTAACCCTTAGTTAAATATAGATAAAAGAAGGGAATAAAGTACCTGTAATGAGAGTGTTTTAGTATCACTCTCAACATCAAAAATCGTAACAACATTCTCCGAAGCTGCAGCAAGAAGACGTCCAATTCTAGGCTGAAACCTCACTTGTGCTGTGCCACCCTATTAATGCAACAATGCTCATCTAAAATAAGTCAATATATACAAATATGAAGGGAAAAGAGATAGTATACAGTTAATAGAGCTAACAGTATACAGTTAATAGAACTAACCTTGGAGATACGTGAGCTTGAATATTGGCTCACATTCCAGAAACGAATCTCCCCATTGCCATCACAAGAACATAGAAGGTCTGTCTTTTTAGGATGAAAATCTAATGATGTCACCTGGGAGCTGTGGCCACTAAATGTCTGCAAGCAATAATTTGGCTGCAAAAAAAGCCAGATAATTGCATAATTAGTGTTACATTCTTAAGTAGATTAGCTAATTGATACTCCCTTCCAAGATTATTAAAAGAAAATAACAAGAAAATTTATAAAATTCACCCACGAATTAGTACAAGGATGCTATAACTTCACACATAGGAAGTTCAAATTATAACAAGCTAACATAGAAACAACCCATGAAAGCACATTATATGAACAAGGAGGTACTATGTTTTAGGGAAAATTGTACACTCACAGTAGTCTAGGATTATGTACCACATTTCACTATACATACAGGTTTCTTTAATTCCATATTTATCTCTGTTCTCATGTTTGATGCATGCGTACATTTAATTGTATGCATGTATCAAAATAGAAATTTTATTAAGTACAAGAGGCTCATAAAGTAGAGAGCAGTACCTCTGCTGCATTCCATAGCTTAACAGTTCTATCAAAAGAAGATGTCGCCAGTTGAGTTGAGTTTGGCCTAAAACGTATATCTGTGATGATAAGAGCGTGCTCTTCTGGTGTACTCTCTGTTTGCAGTGTATCCATGTTCCAGAGAACAGCCTAGAGAAACATGAAACAAAAACTAGTCAGCAGTAATTTTTCTTAAATATTGTTTCACATAACACAGTTCTTACAACTTGAGCATAGAGTAGATTATTGTTAAATGCACAAATATCAAGAAAAAGGACAGGAAAATAAATCCAATAACTCAGAAAAACGTTATAAATTGGTAGATCATCAAATTCCATTTTACTGAGCTGTTCATCCACAAATCACTAACAATATGTTATCATTTATTTTCATACTGTGTCTGTAACTAAAAAATTCTATCACCAGATTTTAGCATCCAGAAGTATCAAATTATATCATTACAATAGCATCTAAAGAGTCATTTCTGTGATGGCATGAGATAATACCTTCTTCTCGTGTCCCGCACTAGCCAATATCTTTCCATCTGAAGAGAAATGGCAGCAGACAACTTTGCTGTTGCTTGTACGGATACAACCAACCTCATTAAATGAAAAACCTGAAATGGGAATATCATATGTTAATATTTCTCATTTGAAAACTATGAATTGTACAAACAATGTGATTACCCTTTGAAGGCTCTGGATTGGGTTCTGCAGGACTTCTTTTTAATGCAGCAAAAATGTCCCTTGCATCCCCATCATCATGTTGGGATAAAAACGACTCCACATTATCATCTAAAGAAGCAACATCACCAAAGTGCTCCAAGTCATCCTGTAATATTAAGATAAAATATGTATAGGTGAATAAGCTGCAACGCACTATTCTCGCACTTAATAGGTTATCTGAATAAGAAAAAGCATATCATACCATCTGATTTGAAGAAGAAGCAAGTCCCCCTGGCCCATCAGTACCATACATCATTAGCCCTTTTGGCATACTGTTAACATGTTGCATATTTCCAGCTATTGCGACTCCATCACCAGTGTTATGAGTAGATGGAGTTGATGGAGGGGAATTAGAAGGGCCTACAGTGTTTCCTGTACCAGTACTATTTGCAGCTCCAGAGGAAGTTGCCTGCTTTCTTTTTCTGTTATTCTAAGTTTATCCAAAGAAAAGATACAAAAGACTTAATTCTTGGCCAAAAAAAAGTTTTAAGCAGCAATTTATTGCCAATGGACATTTGAAATGGAAAAACAATCCAGCTAAAATAGAAAGATTAAATTAGTTGTTGAGTAGTCAAGAGAGGTAGAAATCCAATACCTGCTGCATCTGCTGTTGTTGCTGCAGCTGTTCTTGTGGTTGCTGAGCAGAGGACTGCTGCTGCATCTGGGCCATCTTCATCTAAATTTAGAACAAATCAGTTTTGCAAAATAAAAAAATAAATAAAATAATAATAATAAAAGGTAATTGCTCACTGGAAAAAGAGAACAGTTCTTAATATTAAATCTTTTAGAACCATTATATCATCTACAAAATAACGAATTGACAGAAACCTACCACTGTCCAGGCAAGCAGAAAAGCATTTTACTTAACTGCACACTGAAATGGAAAAAAAAATTCTATATGAAAACTGTATGCCAGACTTTTTCTTTGTTAAACCAAATGCATGCAGGTTACATACTTCTTTTGTTAAACCAAAACTAGTAGATATTAGCAAATTTTCCTAAATCCAAGCTCACAGGTCTTCTAATACAAAAAGCTCACAGGCCTTCTCATACAAACATTTACTGTAGGAATAAACATTCATTAACTAAATTTTGTTCAAAATTAGTAGAACCAGGTGTGCTAAAATGTACGGAAGTTTACAGATGGTCCTGATATCTATATAATTTCTTAAAGCAGATTTAAACAGATATATTCACCAGCCTGATTTATACCTGTTCTCGTATGTATAGATACGTGCTCTTTAAGCATTTTGACTACCTATATGATGTGCTTGAAGTTGCAAAAATTGACCACTCAAACCAAGTCAAACCTAGCAATATTGCAGTTTTTGTGAATTTCAATGGAAAACTCAATCCAACTTTTCTTGGGAACATGAGACAGATGTTAAAGTCGTTTATCCGCGAGTATTGGCACAGAAACTTTTCAAGAACCAAGAACAAAGATGCATTTATATCTCATAGGCATGCATACAGAAGAACGTGAACGCTAATGAGTCTTTGTTTAGCACTTTCCTGATAAAATGATGAACTTGTAAGGCTGCTAATAATACAATTAGGACTCAGGAACCTCCAAATAACTGTTGACACTGGATTAAATGAAAATATCTCTAACTTATCTGATATGCTACTGAAATTGACATAAAATGTCACAGGTCTTTGGACATCAGCACTTACAAAATCTGTAGGATCTGGATAAAAGTAAAACAGAAACTAATATAGCAGATGTGAGTGGAAATGTGTCCGGGTGCATATGCAAGCTAAACTGCCTTAAAATTTGATAAAATTTACTTGGACCTTTACTCGACATGATGATTAATGATTTCCACATAACTCACACTGGAATAGAATGGTGATGTCACAACTACCTAATGGTGTTTGCCCATGAAATATCATGAACTGTCATCAGACTCACTTAAACGATAGGATACTTCAATACCTACTCTATGTCCTACATCGTTTTTTCACACGCCGCCTCCAGTTTCCTTATGTCAATATGCATGCATGCATGCAATCATTGTGGAGGTGCTTTCAAAATAGACATTCGCTAACAAGAGTAGAGAATAAAGCACTGAAAAGCATGGGAAAGGGACACATCAATCGAAACCAAGACCGTGGGAGCCATATTGGAACCTCTCAACCCTCTGGGCCATCCGCAGTGGGTGAGACTCATCTACTATTGAATCCTGAAGAATTTAGGTGCACTTCGTTGTTAAGAATATTAGTCCATACATAAGTGCAATTCATTGAAGGATGTAATACAATCTTCAACCATAGTTGTCCTTACGATAAAAGAGATTTGCTTAATGTATACTGCAAGTCTGAAACCAATGACCACCTAAAAAGATAATGCTAGAAGACATAATCTAACAAATGGGCAATGTGAACAACAGTCTTGAAGTATGTACACAAGTCTACCTATACTTACACAGAGACTTAGAAGATTTAAGTTACAGAACTGCTTGGAAGTAAGCAGATTAGAATACCATAGAATATTTATTATAACTAATAGTGCATGTAAACCATCAGTCTAAATGGACTGCACCTTGCAATATCTACACGATGATCTAATAATTCCACCTGAACAAGCAGAACCAAGTTACAAGGCAGCTGTGCTTATATGGAAAAAGGTTCACATAGCACACTCAAAAGCTTAGGCTTAATAGATTTGGCAGGGCTGTGTGTTATTCCACACCACAAATCACTGAGGTGAATTCATAGATATGCATACTTATAAAGCTTCCATGGGACCATGGGCAAAGGAAAATTTTAATTTCTAAAGTGACTTTGGATAGATTACATGTCAGGAAGAATGGCTCCTTTTAGGCTGAAAAACTTTAAAAAGTGCCAAATGGAGTTTTTTCATGCAAATATAGTCCATCAAATAAGCAAGCCCTTCTTAATTACCATGTCAATTAAGCAAATTATGATGATGAAATATACAGAATTTATTATAAGCATTTTCCATTTAAGATTCTTAATATTTTCATAAATGATATGGCTTGTTGGCGCGATGTTGCCACCATACTCGGCATTCAGGCCGGTCCACAGCTAGATCCATCCTTACTAATATTACTGCACACAAAAAAAAGAACACGAGAGAGAGAAAGAGATAATAGTATCAAGCATATAGCTCATGTAATCTATGGGTATCTGACAGCAAAATGCAAATCACAAGGAAAAGAACTAAATTCTGCATAGATGATTCATGACATCAAAAACAAAGGCAGACTAGTCAACCTAAAACAACAAAGTTATGGAGTTATGGGAACAGCACCAAATGTAAAGCAGGAAAAAAGTACACGCAGTTTCAACTTTCAACACAAATATACAAATAGAACAGCTATCTCTACTAAGTATTAACCCTTCAATGTAATGGCTTAAGCAGCAATGATAAAACAAAAAGAAATCTGAGTTCAATCAAAATAATAAATGAAACTTTTTTATTAAAATATTACTCTATGCACAGATCTATACCACTTAATAATAAATCAAGTGTGGGTAGACAAATGTGAATGAATGGGGGAAATTCCTCCATCCATAGTTTGTTTTTTGGGGAAATACTTGGTTTCTTCAGGGTAATCCTCACCCCCCCCCCCCCCCCCCCCCCCCCCCTCCAAAAAAAAAAAAACCAATAAAATTTTTTTACAACCAAGTCAACACACAATTAAAATTTACAACTATAAATATAACCTTGAATATTTAGAAATTATAAAAATAAAAAAATGATGAATTTAAAACACTAAAATACTTCTATTAATAGTAAATTAAATAATAATCGTATATCAAAGTGATGTGTTTTTTCCTCCTCGCGTTCAGATAAATGATAATTGAAATAGTATAGAAAATAGAAATAAAAATAAAAACAATAGTAGCAAAACAAAATTCAACTTGCTACTTAAATAAATAAAAAAATATTACATGTAAATATTTAAATCAATAAATAAACTGAAAATTATATAAAAAAACATTGTGCTAAGTTGATCTATATCCATTGCTCTAATAAAATGATATATTTTTAAAAATGACCTTCATTAATTTTCTTCAAACTACATAGTTACCATTTCTATGTTTGGTCACATGCACTATGCAAGTGCAATTTAGCTAGTTTACTTATAGTGGTAAACTACCAATGAATATCTAGAAAAGAAAATGGTTAATATATAAATCTATATGATATTTAATTTTTGAAAAGAAATTAAAATATACATAAGCTTATTCCAAGCCTCCACATGGAGTATCTAAATCAGCTTTACATACTCCTTATATCTTCCCCCACCCACCGAAGTGATGAGAGTGGGTCCAAGTCCTCAATTGCTATTACAATCTTTATTGTGCAAACCATAATAGAAAAACTAACCTTCATTAGATATTCTCCTTGATCAGGCCTAACTTTAGGTGAATTTGACTGAATAGGAGAACCTATAGATCCATCCGTTCCAGTAAGTGGGCCATCTTTTCCATTCAAATTGCCCCGTGGCAAGCCTCTAAATCGTCGAGGATCCATATCTCCATAGTTAGTTGATGCACCAAGATTTCCTTGTGCTTGGGCCTGTGCTAAGAATTGCTGCTGCTGTTGTGGTGACATGAGCTGAAACTGACTTTGTGGAGACAAAAGAGGCTTCTGAACTTGTGGGCCCAAATTCGGCCGCAGTTGATCAATTGCCTATGAGTAAATTCACTATGTAAATAAAAGTTGCTCCAACTAAACTGCAATTAAATTACTACTCCATCACGACTTAACTGTTAAGGGCCAGCCCTTCAATGTAAGACCACTAACACCTTGACTCAATCCTGTCAAGATACAGTTTTCATGTGATTAGAAGAGTTTAAGCTTCATATTGATCAATCTTTCAAAATCTACAGAACTGTATAGTTGCCAATAAAACTTAACAAGTGACAAATGGCGCGTTCAAGCAATTCAAGGATTCCAAGTATTGTTTTCATTCAAATGTGTGACTCAAACAGTTAATAAAGATTACGCATGGGAATGTCAGACAGTGGTTGATGCCCTTCAGTGGTGTGGTTTTTAGGCATTTTTCCACGTTCCTTTCATTTATTTAACTGGTTTTAAGGAAAGCAATGAGGCTCTTAAGTTTTAAAACAGAGAAAAAATAGAAAAAAAATGAAAGTTACTAAAAGTTGTGGATGGGAACATTTCACTTCGTTAAGCAAACCAAACTCACTGTCACGAAGAATATCGGGCTGAAGTAAAGTAAATAGTCAAGAAGCATTAATTAATAACACAAACAGATAAGGAAGGACAAGCATATAAATGTTGAACATTCAGAAATTGCAACAAGCTACGATAGACCAACCTCAAATTTCATCTTGTTTGACGTGTAAGTATAAGAAAATATACGAATACCTATACAGGTATGAGGTATTGAGTACTCTTATGACATTGTTGGGCTCTCTTATGCTCCAGGTTTATTTTGTCTTACGAGCAAAAGGTCTCAATTTTATTAGAGAACATGCATGAACTTTTAAGTTTATGACAAAGTACTAAGTCAAAAGGATAGAATAAAATACATCCACCAAACTTCTACTTGAAAAGACCTCTACATAGCTACGAGTTATATGTAATCAAATTTAATGATCAATGTAAACAGCTATAGCGAAATACTAACAAATGCAAGATATGTTTCTTTTGTTGGATATTAGAGTCTGACGAGGTTCCAGTCTCTAAATGCTTTGTTCTTGGCTAGCGTTTATAAGAAGGCAATTACCTTTTGATTTTATGTTATGATGGAATTGGACAGTTTCACACGAACATTGCAACTCAATACATGGACTAGCACTGAGAATAAAACAGACTCCAATGTTTTATATAAGAGAATGTACGTATACGACTTTGCAGTTTATAGAAATCCTAATATTCAGGGAATCAAGGTCTTAAACAAACCTTGCCTTGATTGATAATCGTACTATACCACAGAAAATATGGACGTAAACTTTCATGCAAATGCAATTTATATGAGATATGACTAAACACGAGCAGGTGCAGAATTTATGTAAATGCAATTTATATGAGTTATGACTAAACACAGGCAGTGCAGCAATAAAGTTAAGTAAAATGTTCCTCCCAGATAACAGACCTCCCCCCTCCTTTGATGTTGCTTGAGTTACACCATTTTCTTGCTGGATAAAAAGAAGTCTTAAAACACTTGCAACCGTTTTCCTTAAGGCTACTTGAAAAAAATCCTTTTTTTTGTTGGGTAAGAAGAGAGATTTAAATTTGAATGGAACAGCATGTGAGCTTGTGAAATAGCCTTGTTTCAATTGATCACCTCAATTTTAAAGTTTCAGTACTAAGACATAAGTTCCTTGCACCGCTTGGCTGAAATGGGATGAGAGAAGACCTTTGATCTACATTCAAGATATCTCAAGAATACTAAGAATACTGAAAGTGCTTACAAATTTTGAATATCAATTAACAGGATTTCTTTAAGAGTTGCTTACCAGGACCTCCTAGTCCAGATTTTGCCTGTATAATACCCTGTCCGTATATGGATGATGGATCCATAGGCATAGATCTTTGAGCTACACCCAAGTTACCCTCTGTCTTAATATCCTGATATAGTTTTATGATTATAGAAAGGAAGAAAAAAGGTAAAATATTAAGATTCAGATCAATTTGCTAGCAAAGAATACTGAAAATAGTGCAAATATTTACAGTTGTCTGTTGATTTCGTGACTGCATTTGCTGCAATGCTGCAGATACACCAGCTTGGTTACCTTGGACTAACTGCCTGCTTCAACAAAACATCGAAAGAACTATACAGTTAGCTGGAATCTCCAAGCCTTTAAGTATCTCCATAAGAATGAAACTGAAGAAGGGAAATTTACCCAGGATGATTCGTTGCTGACTTAAGAAGTGCCATCCTACTAGCATCAAGAAGTTGCGTAGAAGCCTCAGATTCCATCGAGTTGGGATGCTTCAAACGCTCTTCGTACATCTTGGCAGCCAAAACACTTGCTGTTGATGTCCCCAAAATACCATCAGAGTTTATGGTATTAATTGGGCCACTAAGTGAAGGATGATTAGGATTATTTCGTTGCAACTGAGCATTTCGTTGCTGTATGAGTTGCAACTGTTGCATCTGTAACTGTTGCTGATGCTCTCTCACCTTGGCTTGTTGTGCCTAAGGACCAAAAGAAACATGCATTTGGACCTTTGTTTTGAAACTAGAAGAGAGAAAATTTGGACATTTGCGAAGAATAGAGTTACCTCTATGTATGCTGCTGCTACTTCTGAATGTTTTTCATTTGTTCTAGCAATGAATATGTCCCAGAAAACAGACCACCATTCAAAGAGAAATCCTCCCGGGGCATCAATTGCTGCTAAGCAAAAGTTAAATTTGCTCGGAAAATTTTCTTTTGGCACATGAGAAAAGATTGGTGCACTCTCTTGTCATTATAAAGTTGAATTTTGAATTAATACTAGAAATCAAAATAGCGGTAAAGAACTTCAATACAATACTTTTAAGATTTAAAATTACCCATACAAATACATGTATACTGGAACGGGCAGAAAAATAAGATAGCTTTGACTCAGAGGAATGGTAAAATTCTTGTATTATTATGTTCAGTTTAATTATACAAAAATATACACTCAACATTTTTTTTATGTGCAAGTATGGCTGCATGAGCATCAACCTACCTTCGCAACATGCTTTCTATCCAATTCCTACCTTAACCTAAGCAGTCAGCAATAAATTCTGTACATATAATTATCAGAATAACCAGTGAGGAACTAGTTCTACAGTTTGCCAACAAACTAGTAAAAGGTAAGTTAATCAAAAGAAACATAATTGCCACGCTAAGATGTGTCTGACCATTTACCATCAAATTGTGATAGATATTCTCTAAACATTTCCCAAGGGTAACAATTCCAACAAGAATTTAGAATAAATTCCAATGGAAGAATAACACATTTCAACAAGTATTCACTGATACTAATTATTTATTATTTAATTTAATGATTAAATATTATAATAAAAATTATCCAAATCCAAGTGTAAGCCAAAATAATCCTGGTTCAAATCGTCCTCCAATTTTTTTTTAATCAAAGAATCCAATTTTTAATCCAAAAATCCAATTTTTTATCAAAAGAATCCAATTTTGAATTCAAGGATCCAATAGGAAAATTTCTAGCCTGGGGAAAAAAATCTAGAAAGTAGGATTGCTGGGCAGTTGACCTAGTCCTAACTACAAGCTTGAACCACTAACACCCCCTTACCAAAAAGTCACATATTTTTCTCTCAAAAAAAAATCACTAAATTCTACACGCTGAGATTTTAAAACTACAGACCAAAACGATATTAAATAAATATGAAAACATATCACGCTACTACTCAACTTCCGAAATAAACAGTTATAGCTAAATCAACAGCTGGAAGGGAGCAAAAAAAAAGTAATTTAAAATAAATAACTACAAAATTTGAATGTCCATTACCGACGGGATCAGCCGCAACCTTCCCTTCAGCCATAAAGGCTTTCGCAGTCGACTGCAGGTTCCTCTTCAGCAAATAATCATAAATATAAACATCAAGCCTACAAAATTACCACAAGGGGAAAAAAATCAATTTTGTCCCAATCAACAACAAAAATAACCAAAATTCTCCAAACACTCACATTTTATCCGCTTCCCAATTACTTTGCGCCATCCTCTCGATCCAATCAACAACGAGCACCTCAAAATCTCACTTCAAGTTCATAAACATCCTTCAACAAAACAAGTATCAAAAACTAAATTAAGCTAAATTAACACTAGAAACAGAAAGATCCCGGTCTACATTACAATTCAAAACCTCGATCACAGCAAATCAATGCTGATTTCAACAATCAACTAAAATTTAGGGCAAAAAAAGAAATTAAAATTCTCAAACCAAACCAATTTCGAAGCATCTACCTCCAGTTCTCCAAGATAGAACTCAATTCTGAGCTTCAAGAGCTTCGATGAGTGAACAGTACGAAACCCTAGGACCAGAACAGAGCTTGATCTTTCATGGGAGAGAGAATTAAGAGCAGAAAGCTTTCTTCTCTCTCTCTCTCTCCTCTCTTCTCTTTCTCTCTACTCTCACCGCCTCGGATGAGAGAGAAAATAGTGTGGGGTCGTTTACATAAATCTCCCCAAATTACCTATATTTACAAATCAACCCCTAAGATAATTAAGATTAGTTCTTGAGGCTTAAACAATCTAGGAAGTTCTAGTCTGATTATTAACTACAAACTAGCCTCACAAAATCTAGATAGTTCTAGTCTGATTATTTACTAAAATAAGATTAATTCTTATTGGGTTATTGTTCCAAACGCACTCATATAAATTTTTGTCAAATACTATCCTAGTTTCCTCAAATTTAAGTACGTTGAATTTTGAAAAAGAAAATCTTGACTCAATATGGTAGAATTATTATGAACATCAGCGAATATCTAAATTTAGAATTAAACTTGCAAATATGATTCTTTTGAGGGTAAATAGACAAAAATCCCAAAATCATTAGAGCTGGATTTCGGTCGCTGGTTCGAGTTCGGGTTCGGACCCGAAGCTCTCGGTTAGGTTCCGAACCTGAGGCTTCTGGGACCGCGCTTAAGTTTCGCTTCGGATAGCTGTACCTGTATACAACAGCAAACAGAGACATAAACCAATTAATTTCTGACACTTCACCCATGATGCTCATTTTACTCCGATGGATCGATGTTTTGGTGTTTGGGATCTACACTTGAGCTGGGGCTGAACTGGGAGTGAGCGTTCACATGGATCCTTAAACATCGAGCAAGTTGATGGACCGAATCTCGATTTGGACGGCTGAGATCTAATTTTGATCAAGGTTGGTGGGCCCTCTCATGTGATCGCGACCGTTAAAGAGCTTCCTTTCTAAATATGAAAGGTCGATATTTCCCCACGTGGATGATTGAGATGTAGGTGAGTACTTTCTCCTCTAATCGGACGGTTGGGAGTGAGATAGCGGTTGAGGAGAGGAGACGATGCTTTTGATTATTTTATATTTATTTAAATAATGTATGTGGTTTTTTCGGAAATAGAAAAGTATTTTATAGGCGGCAAAAGCGGAGCCCACAAGAAGTAGCCCCAGGTCAGCTTTCGCGTGGGCTTTTTGCGGATTAGCGGATATTATTATCAGAGGATAAACTTTAATCAGATTTTATTTTTGCTGAAATTTAGATCAGCTACCTTGCCTTTTTTGTCGAGATAACGTGGTTTTTGACCGTAATTTTAAGCGTGAAAGTCTTTTTTTTTTGCAACACATAGAAGTGGAATACCGTATTTGTTTACAAAAACAAATAATTATGAGAAGTAGAAAAGTAAAAATGATGTGATAAATATATTTTATTTTATTTACTTAAAATTATATTGTATCTTTCAACATTTTTGGTGACAACAAATAAGTGAATTGAAAATAAATACATACAAGTAAAAGTACTCATTTATTTAATTAAAAAAGAAATTATTAACAAACCTTTATAATTTATTTATATTCCATATTTATTACATATTCAATATATTGCTATTTTTAATAATGAAATATTTATTTGATAGCAATTTCAATAATCTTAGGAAATTAATTTTAAATAGTAAAGTTTTAAGAAACTAACATAGAAATTTCCCAAAATAAGTTTTCATTCCAAACGTAAATATTTTCTAGATTGTATAACAAAAAAGTGATTGATGATATTTCATGGAAAAAAGGTTATTTAGTAAAAAAGAATATTTTTTCAATTGTTGATACGAGTTATCAAACATGGGGTTTCTTTGTGGATTAAAGCACAGTTAGGGACCTCAAACTCCATCAGATGACTGGCTTTGTAAATAGTTATTTTTTCATGCACATAAAAAACTCGTGAGAAGCCGGAGTTTGGTTCTCCGATTGTTCCTCTGACGATGAAGTCAGCATTTGAAGTTGAGTGTGAAAATATAAGAAAAATAGTGACGGGAATTGTTCAGAGTTGCATCCAAATAGAAGAAGTTATCTCATGCGGTGCAGCTTCCTTTTATAGTTGATCGGAAGGGTAAAACGGTAACTATGGCCGAGTCTAGGCATGTAGCTGACTTGGCAGGTGTCTTACAGGTGTCGGCCACTGAAGAAGGTGAGTCATCAGATGTTTAATGTGAGGACGATAGTAGGTGCTTGGCGCTGACTGGGACCGATGAGTAGTGATGACTATGGGGGCTAGAGCAATGATGACTCTGACAACGTATTTAAGGCAAGGATAGTTAGTTGTTGGCGGGAGGTTCGAGACATATCGCCTCTCTAGTTTTCTAACTGAAGGTCGATAAACTCCGCTTTTTAGTCAGTTACGCAAGTTATCGGCTAATATAGCGGGCCGAGTGTGGAGTCTTAAGGGCTCTTTGACGTGGAACAGGACACGTGTCGGCTTCCTAGTAGAGATTAACTATTGGTTATTTTGCAACCTATAACGGTAACCCCCTTTCACTCGAACTCGGCTGGCAGAGTATGAGTGAGAGTTGAACAGTCGTCGGTTTGCAACTTCTGAGGCATTTATGAAGAGAGCGACGGGTTGCTATTGAAGTGACTTTTTTACGTCAGCGGATATGGTGTGTCATCGTCGCTTCGACTTACTAGATGAGTGGTGTATCGATCAATGGGTAGTGTTTCATTTCCCGTGCGGTCGGTTCGACTTTTGAGGTCGATCTTGGTCGTTCATTCCCAACTGAGTTAGTCGCTCTGATGTTGACATGTGCCCGCACTCAAGCCTATATATAGCCCATCTCTGATGCGGAGGCTCTCTTTACAAGTGCTCTGTGCTTAATTTGTTGAAACCCTAGCTTTCTGCACTAACCATTTTTCGATCAACACTCCGACGATCTATGATGGCTTCCACCACTTCTACTTCTAACCCTAATGAGGCGAGGATTGATCTTCTCAGGTTGTTTTGCTTGAAGGTTTGTTCAATGGAGCTCGAAGCCTATTATAGTCGCTTCGATCTCCAAAAAGTGTTAGACCCTAGAGGGGGGGGTGATTAGGGTCTTATGCTAATCTAATCTGATTATATGCCAATTAAAATTAATTAACAAGTTATCCTAGCAAGTGTGAAATACAACAAGTTATATGAGCTAGGATAAGCAATATGAACAACAAGAAATATCCTAGCAAAGAGATATAAGCAATATATGATATATGCAAGGATATGAAACTAACACAAGATGATATATTCTATCAAAGAGATATACAATATGATATATGTATATGCAAGGATATAAAACTAACACAAGGGGTAAACAATATGAACTAAATAGTGGATCATATAAATAATGAGCTATGGACAATGGCGAAATAAGATATGAACATAAATATAAATGAACGCCAAAACACACTCAAACACACTATATGATCACGGAGTTCGGACCTTCCGTCCTACGTCTCCGCTCCCCACTCCCGGAGAGAAATCCACTATCACAATCGAGTTTTCTACGTTCACCTGAATAACGTTTACACCTCACACTCGGTTTTCTAGCTAACCGAAAACTTTACAATCGACACTCTTGCAATCACACTCTACACCCTCACAAGTGTTGGACCTAGCCGTGTCTCCCTCAAGTGCTCGGTTACAACCTCTCCCTAGGCTCGTCAACCGACGCTACTCCTCTTGGAACGATCCCCGACTCTCACCACACACTCCTCTCGGTGTACAAGTGTATTACAAAGTGAATCTTACAATAAGCACAATATAACAAATGATTGTTCTCTAATATGGATGAGAACACAATAAAAGCTCACACTCAATTGTTACAATCTCTCACAACCCTAATATACTATGTATGCAAGTACAATAAGCTCAAGTGGGTGTGTGTAACAATGAGATAAAATTAAATCTAACTCAAATAGCAATAATAGGAATATGAAAATCAATAATAAAATTGCTAGATAAAAGAGTTAGAAAACTTCTCAATAGATCAAGAGGTAGAAGGAGAATAGTTGGATGCCCAAACACCAATAGATGATCTCCTCAAGCTCTTGTGAAATTGATTTCTCAAACTCAAACTTCCAAATGCTTAAAAGCTTCTTAAACACACTTAAACCAAATGAAAACCCTTGTTAAAACTCTTTTAAACTTGGTTAAAAACTCTCTTGGATGATGAAAAATAGTTATGGCAAAGGGGTATATATAGGCTTGAAGAAACCAACCCCAAAAAACCAAAAAAACTATTAAAAAACAAAAAACAGCAACTAGCCGTAACTATGTAACGGTCGGTTGCTACAGTAACTTCGATCGACCGGTACGGTCGACCATGAGCCATATGCAAAGCTGAGTAACGTCCAGAGAGTTTGGCGGTCGACCGTACCGGTCGACCGCGGGTACTGTAGCACTGCGTATCAACTTTGTAAAATTAATTAAAAATAGTAAAACAGATCTAAAAAATATGAAATTTCGTGGGAAGGTTATAGACATGTAGAATAACATGTTAGAGAAAAAATTTCTGAAAAATCATTTCCAAGTTGAGAGAAATAAATGTTTGAACACAGATTTACAGTTTCTGAAAAACTGCTGACATACACGATTTTGTCAAATCAATTGGGCACAGTAAATCAACTCCAAAAATAGTAAAATTTTGAGGAAAGTTTCTAAACATGTAGATAAACATGTCAAAGAAAGAATTTCTTGAATACCACTTCCTATTTATGAAAACTCATCTGTTTTGTAAAGCATGCACGAACATGTGCATGAACAAAAACATGATTTTGTAAATTCCATTAAACATAACAAATCAATTCCAAACTTGATGAAACTTTACGAAATGTTTATAAACATGAAAACAAACATGTTAGAAAAAGAATTTCTAAAATTGAATTTTTATTTGTGAAAACTCATGTATTTTGCAAGTGTGTCCAAAGCATAAAAACTCAAAACCATGCATGTATATATATAACTATATATATACATAGAAACCAAATACATGTGTGTATATGATGTTGAGCTTAAGGTACTTAACACACATAATATAAAATCTAAACTAGATTACCCAAGCTTGATCTTGATGTTCATTGTAGCTCAACTTGGTACACATGCGGATGAAGCTTGAACTTGATCTTTAACTT